GATGAAAGTTTAAAATTAGATGTACTCGAATAATTACGGAACAACAGGCGGAAGACACACAAGTACATGTACATGTAGATGCCGTGCATGTAGAGGGCACGGTTTCAAATAGGACATAGGTTGCAAACCGGAACGGACTCAATATTCACTTTCTCTCTTGGTATTTTGATTAGAAAACATATGTCACAGTGAGACTACGATGTGTTATACTCTGAGCCAAAATTTCATGGCTCTGCGATGACCAGAAGCGCCATACATGTATCAAGCAGGTGAGTTTTTGACGTGTTGCTTCGCACTGCGACTTGAGTTTTACGACTTTCGAAAAATCAACTTCTTGTCGCAGGTAAACAGCGGCTCGCCTCTCGCCAATAAAGCACCGCATACCAATCAAAACTAATGGAAGCACACACAAGGCTTATTGTTACTCTGTACTGGCCGTCGTGGAGCGATAGCAATTACCTAATTTCAGACCCAGAGTGAATTTGACGTACACTCTAAAACGTGTCCGGTTTGGAGCCACCTCTGATTTGAACTTTTTTGAAGCGAAAAATTGGGCAACTTGGAGGCAATGGGTCAACACAAAGGAGTGGCTCAGTTCGATTGACTCTGGCCCCAGAGCAAACTTCAACATGCCAGCTTCCTTCCACAAACATATTTCGAGTGAAAAATCAACGCTGATGATCGGTTTGGGTCTATACAAACTTGGCTGTCAAAGCGTCCCGGTATCGAGCCGTCCCCTCTACACTACTCGGTATTGCGTGTATCGACGTATTGATTCGAGATTGTTGCTCACCTTCTTGGAAGATGGAAGACGGCCCTGTTCGCTTTTCTTCTTCATAGAATTTCTTGCTTCTCTGTATTCGTGAAAATAATGGTGAAATCCTGGCACACTATTCCAACCTCTTCGGCCCGAACCTGCGCTAAACAGTTTTCTAACGGCCTGTAAGTCTGAAACCCTGGAGGTCTCACGTTCGCCGCCGGCGCCAGGTTACTAACCAAGGAACCGCTAACAAAAGTTTAAACCCATTTCGTTGCCAACGAGTTACGTCCAAGGCTAGGGGACACCCAACCATGCCAACGGACTCCAGAAGAACACTAACAACGCCTGATCTTGCACTTGCAGCTGCATCTAATTTGCAAATATTGCCTAGTGCGCATGCGTCCAAGTGCTGGCAACTGAAATCCGACCCTAGCGTCTCGTACGAATAACGCGGCTAGCGCGCCGCTAGGGGGTCGGATTTCAGTTGCCAGCACTGTAGTATCATTTGCCGCTAGATCGGGATGGTACTTGGTAGTCTGTGATTCGGAGGATCTAGGTCACTTGTAGGAGGCGTAGATCATGGTAGATAGGATGGGTGTGCTTGTTTTCCTTGGTGTGTTAGGTGTAGGTTCCTGCTTCGGTGTTGCAGGTTATTGGACTTGTTTTAGGTGAGTTAGCTTTTTGGCATAAGAATGAAAGAGTAATAAATAATACAGTCTTCTTATACAGTAACGACGTTACGTTTGTGGAATGGTGAATCAAGACGAGAGGTAGAAACATTGGTCCTTCGAGAGCCGGATTCGAACCAGCCGAACCGAAAGATAATGGACTTCGACAAGCGGCACAGTGAACATGGTGAACAGGTCAGGCGATCACTAACGTTGTCGCAGGCAGCGTCGCGGAGGAAGCCGAAAGTATCTCCTCCTCGACACTGAGCCGATTCTCGAGTGCGTCTCGACGCTCTTCGAGCAGTGCTGCTGAAGCCAGGAAGCGGAAAGCGGCGCTGGTGGCAGCGCAGCGTGTGCGGTGTGCTGGCTGCACTTGAACTGAGGAGGCGAGAAACCATAGGCTGGAAAGCGAGAAGAGACTCTTCAATCTCCAGCTCGCCGCGGACCTGGCGGCGATTCACGCCGACGAGGAGGTCGACAACGGAGGTACAGCAGCACCCGTGCTCGACTACGGCCACAGCGAGAGGGCAATAGACAGCTCAGTCACACTACCTCGTGAGGGACGGTGAAGAATCAGTATCTGCTCAAGACGCAGAACAGCACCCACAGCACGGGGAGGTCGAAGTGACTGAAATGTCATGCCAGCCCAGGGGTACACGGACAGTGACCCACAGGACGCTACTCCAGCAGTAATTCCCCGCCACCAGCCTTGTGCAGCCTCTGTGCGCTGCGGAGATAAGGATCCAAGAGTTTGAGGGGCAGCTGAAGTTATGCCGACAGAACACTGGCTCCATTGAGCGAGCCTATGGCGACAAGCTCACTTTGGAGCTTGAAGAAAAAAGACGACTCAAAGACGAACTCCAGCTACAGCAACAGACGATTGCAACTCTGAAGCAGCAGATCTACCAGGAAGACGCGAGGCATGCTGACCAGGTGCAGGTGATCAAGTCCCTGGAGGAAGATCTTGCCGAGGCCGAAGCAAGCAACGGCCGTCTCCAAAGTGACTTGGTAGCCAGAGACCATCGCATCAGCCAGCTCACCAGCACGTCATGCGACCTGGAGGACCAAGTGCAGAATCTAGAGTATGAGCTGGAGGAAACCAGAGCTCCACTAGCAGTCATGCAGGTGGACATGGCACCTTCCAACCGGGAAAGGCGCAAGCTGCAGACCAAAGCGCAAAGTGAGCCACGTGGTGCGGCCGGTGCCGACACCTCCACATGTGATCTCCCTTCGTCCAAGAGCGCGGGGGCAGGGTGACGATGGACCCCCAACACGACCAGCAAGTACTGATGGTCCTGCTAGCCTGCAGACACAGGCCACATCAGATGACAGCATACAGACAGCTGTTGCACCAGCAGTGTCACAGCTGGCCCAGGCATTGTCGGATAAGCTGACGTCACCAAGTGCGACCACTCCAGCCCACCAGAACACCTCGGACAAGGACCTGCGGAGAATGATGGCTAGACAATCAGCCACAACAGACTTGCCGGCCTTCAAAGGTGATCCTACAGTGTGGCTGATGTTCAACCGGACGTTTACGGCCTCCACTGCAGAGTGTGGTTTCTCCAACCAGGAGAACATGACCCGTCTGCAGAGAGCCTTGAAGGGAAAGGCTTTGGAGAGTGTGAAGTCAATGCTCGTCGTACCAGACAACATTGATCGAGTGATGCACACTCTCCAGATGCAATTCGGCCAGCCGGACCATGTGGTCCAGTCCATGATTGCCCAGGTCAAGCCTCCATGCCTAAGGGCCCGGTCACACATGCACTCGAAAGTAGCGTATACGCTGAAGCGAGGTCGCAGGAGCGAAAAATGGCATGGCAACGGCGAAAAGCGGAACTTCCGCTTCAGCGGAAACTCAATCCACTTCCTCCAAAATTGTGTCGCTTCAGCGGAAAACACCGCGGTCTGCTGTATATGGACTTGCGCCGAGAAATTTGTATGCGTATGATGTCCATGCAACAAAAATGCGTGCAAGACAGTCATTGACCTCGTCTATTCTCCATACCGTATGCACCACAGTCCACTTTACTCTCATTTTCCGCCAAAGTAGGAGTTTGCCCTGTTTGTATGTGTGACCATACACACGTGGTTCCGCTGGAGCGACACCAGGCTCGCTGCCGCAGAACCTCGTCGCCGAAGCGAAACCCCAGTGCATGTGTGACCGGGCCCTAAGTTGCGAGACGACTTTGAGCAGCTTATTGACTTGGCGAACTCAGTTAGCAACTTGGTGTCGACCATGGAGCTCCTCAAGAGCACAGGCCACTAAGCTAACCCACAGCTCCGCCAGGAGATCGTGCAGAAACTACCGAGCGGCTTGACCCGTCAATGGGGAGAGCACGTGGCAGAGTGCAAAGATCCAGTGACAATGAAAACACTGGCAGAGTGGCTCGCAAAGAGAGCAGATGCGCTCTGTTGTGTTTGGAGAATCGACACGACGGCAGCAAAGTGTGTCTCTACAGGCAGCAATATGAAGCCGCAACCGACTGCTCGACAGAGCGGCCAGCGGCAGACTGCCTTCGTGGCCAACGAGATAAAGTGCGACTTCTGTGGACGGGCAGGCCACAAGGTGGCTGAGTGCCGAGAATTCGCACGCGAGACGAACAACGAACGCTGGAGATGGGTCAAGGCAGAACGACGATGCTTCACCTGCCTTGGCCAAAGCCACCGTACTAGAGAGTGCCCTGACAGTACACCCTGTAAGAAAGATGGCTGTGACCGGCTTCACCATCCGATGCTGCACCCACCAAAGAGGAAGGACGATGTCGAACACGCGAACCTAGCTAGCGTCCAGCAGCAAACCAGAGTCGTTCTGAGGACAGTGCCGGTAGCAATCCACGAACCCAAAGGTGTGGTGAACACGGCCACACTACTGGATGAAGCATCAACGGTCACCCTGCTGGATTCAGACATCGCAAAGCAGGTGGGCGCAGAAGGGCCATGTAGGCCATTGATGCTAGCATGGACGAACGACATGTGCCAGCAAGATTCTAACTTCAGAGAGGTCACGATCACGGTGGGCGGTCAGGACGGAGACCTCCAGCCGTCGGCCCGGACTGCTCGTGAGCTGCACCTACCAGCCCAGCATGTCGACGTCAACCATCAGCGACAGCGCTGGCATCCCTCTCAGCACGACAAAGAAGCCGCGCTTGCTGATTGTCCAGGACAACTGCTATGTCATTTTGCCCAGGGAAACCATCGAGGGCCCACCCAACCCACCCACACTGAGCCGGTGTAAGTTAGGGTGGTCAATGCACGGCCAACTCGGTCACAATGCTCCGGTACTGCATGCCCGACTTGACGATACAGCGGAAGAAGGCAGCGCTGAGGACACGGATATCGGCCTCCACCAACAGGTGAAGCACTACTGCACCACAGAATCGTTTGGTGTACAAGTCTGCAGCGAGAAAATATGCTCGCGACAGGAAGAAAAGGCGGAAAGGATCCTGGAATCCACCACGAGACGTATCGGGGAACGATGGGAGACCGACTTGCTGTAGCGAGACGCTGACGTAAGCCTATCGGAGAGTAAAACGCCAGCAATGCGCTGCCTCCTGTCCATGGAACGCAAGATGGACAGGAACCCTGCATTCTCTGAAGCGTACTGCGCTAAGATTGCACAGTATATTGACGACGGATACGACACCAAGCTCACACACTCCCAGCTCCAGATGCCTTCTCAGAGAGCGTGGTACCTGCCACATTTTGGAGTGATAAACCCCAACAAGCCAGGCAAGCTGCGCCTAGTATTTGATGCAGCTGCGCCAAGCCATGGGGTCAGCCTCAACGATGCCCTGCTGCCAGGCCCCGACTATCTCAACCCTCTCACCAGTGTGCTGTTCAAGTTCAGACAACACCGCGTGGGGTTCGGAGGGGATATCCGACAGATGTTTCACCAAGTGCACATCCGACCTGACGATCAGCCTGCACAGCGGTTCCTTAGGTGAGGCAGTGACAGAGGCCGTGAACATGATGTCTACCAGATGAGAGCCATGACATTCGGCGCTGTATGTTCGCCAGCATCAGCCCAGTATGTAATGCGAAGAAATGCAGACGAATTCCGGCACAGCGCGCCAGATGCAGTTACTGCAATCCATGACAAGCACTACATGGACGACTACTTCGACTCGACGCCGACGGCAGAAGAAGCAGCCCAACGGATCAAGGAAGTGAGTTGAATCCAAGAAGCCGGATGCTTCACCATCAGAGGCTGGGTCAGCAACTCACCTGATGCACTTGCTGCCGTACCCCCAGATACATGCTCACCATCAGTAGTCACTATTAGCAGCGACAACGAGACTGTAGTGGAGAAGACACTCGGTCTGAAGTGGTTGCCACGGGAAGACGTGTTCGGCTTTAGTCTGAGCCGTAGACTGGAGCAAAGCAACACAACAGAAGTGACAAAACGTGAATTCCTACGCAAGCTGATGTCTGTGTTCGACCCCCTTGGTTTCTTCACCTACTACACCATGTCGGCTTGCATTCTGCTACAAGACATTTGGCGCACAGGCGTCGGATGGGACGAGCCCCTACCAGGATGGACGGACTGGTGGGTGGGAGTGCACAACCTCGGAAGCAGGTCAATTCCGCGTTGCTACTGCATGGCTATTGTGGACAGAAAGGACCTGGAGCTTCACGTGTTCGAAGACGCCAGTGAGTCGGCATTTGCCGCAGCAGCCTACTTCAGGCTATCACTACCTGATGACAGCACCAGAGTCGCATTCGTGTTTGGCAAGTCCCGAGTCGCACCGCTGAAACCCATATCCATACCGCGGCTGGAGCTGCAAGCTGCACTGATGGCCAGCAGAATGGCCGACACCGTCCGGAAAGAGCACGATCTACCTATCGACCGCATCGTGCTCTGAAGTGACTCTATCACTGCCCTACGATGGATCAGAGCACACGCCCGGCGATTCAAGCCATTCGTAGCACATCGTATCGGAGAGATTGAGGAGTTCACTAACGTATTGCAATGGCGGTGGGTCCCGCACACGGCAACCCAGCAGATGCAGCAAGCAGAGCCCCATCCGAGACTTCAGCAGCGGGGCACATCTGGACGAATGGTCCTGAGTTTCTGACCAAGCCAGAGTCTGAGTGGCCAGGAGAGAATCCTGGGCGAGACACTACCACCAGCGACGACCAAGCCGAGATGAAGGCAGAGTTTACTGCGGTAGTCACCAAAGAAGCGCCGTTAGCCCTGCCAGACATCAGCCGCTTCTCATCCTGGATTCGGCTGATGAGAACGACAGCATGGATCGTCAGATACGTCAACAACCTGCGTGCAAAAGCGTCAAGCAAGCCAACAGTCACTTACCCTGAGTTGCTACCATCAGAATACCAGCAGGTCCAGAAGCTGTGGTGGAAGAAAGCACAGCAAGACAGCTTCCGGGAGGAAATTGGCGACCTGCAGAAGCACAGCAATGTGAGCAGTAGCAGCGAACTTCGAGACCTCTCACCTGTGCTAGATAGCGACGGTGTGGTGAGAATGCATGGTCGAATTCGAAGTGCACCACCCGGAAGTCCATTGACGCCCGAGCCCGTCATCCTGGACCCGTCGCACCCATTCACACAGATGCTCCTTCAGCAGTACCATGTCTGGCATGGACACCATGGCCAGGATAGTGTGGCAAACGACGTCCGCCAGACGTATTGGGTCCTGAAACTACGCACAGCCGTCCGCCGTACCTAGACCGTATGCCAGCAGTGTAAAAATGAACGTGCCCAGCCAACACCACCTCAGATGGGACAGATTCCCGACGCACGCGTTGCCATGTTCACACATGGCAGCATGGACTATTTCGGGCCACTGACAGTCACTATCGGACGACATCACGAGAAGCGGTACGGCGTGATATTCACCTGCCTTACAACCCGAGCTGTACACCTGGAGCTGTCACACGACTTGACAACAGACCGTACCATCATGGCAATTCGCCGGTTGATCAGTCGCAGAGGGTGCCCTGGAGTTTATCGTGAGTGTGATTGCTCTGGTAGACCACTACCCCATGTACTGAACAGTTGCTTTGTGAGTGAAAAGTTTTGTGCTTGCTGGCGGTTCTTTGATGGATTTAGATGTTTTCGGGTATCTATCTATTATGTGGCTGCGAGTGTGGTTTTTGCTTCTACTCATTTCTGGAAAACCACTACGGTGGTGAGTGTGATTGCTCTGGTAGACCACTGCCCCATGCCTACATGTACTGAACAGTTGCTTTGTGAGTGAAAAATATACAAAAAAATACTATAGGGCCACCTAGAATTAATTCGTTGTTTCGGGTCACTTCAATTCACTCATCCGTACCAGGGTCGCTCGGTCGGGTTTATTTTTCATTTTATTTTATTTTTATTTTGGTTCAAGTGACTACCATGTACATGTACATGTATGTGCATACATGATTGTACAATTGTGCATATCGAATAGCTTTTGTCCATCAAGCCAGTCGATCAAATCTGGCTGTAGACGATCCAGCGCAGTCATTGTCCCATCAGATCCAGGCCCCCTCCAGGACCAGATCTTGGCTTCGCTGACAAACGAGTCTGACGAGCAGCTCTCATCTTGAAAACTTCTGTCACTGATGAGCGACGCAGTGGCGGAGTAGAGCTGCTGATGGTGTTTCAGGACCGATTGCGGGTCGGAGATTATTATAAAAATAAATACATGACATTTGCATGCACTCTAAAAAAAAGCATTTTGCGGTCGGGTGAAAAAAGACGGTCGGTCGGGCCGGTGACTAGGCCCCCGTGTAATATGCCGGCATTTTTTTGAGCATTTTCGGTACAATCCGCGAACCCAGCACTTTGGGCTCGTGATGCAGCATTTTGGGGGAAACGGAGCACTTGGCCGTTGTGTATCAACATTGAGAGAAGAAAAACTTCCCAAACAAGAACGTCACTTCCGCATTCCGTGGGTTAGCTTCTTGTTGAGTAGTTTATAAATTGAAAATAATGGTTTTGACCAGGGAGTGGTAAAATACCGGTATTTTCTGACTAACTGGTTTTGAGTCTTTTGACGGCGTGTGCTGAGGATTACAAAAAAGTGAGCATTTTCCGAGCATTTTCGGCAAGGTTTGGGAGCATTTTCGGCAAGGTTTACGAGAATTTCGCAAAGTAACTTTGCCGAAAATGCTTTTGGGAAATTCTCGTGAACCTTGCTGAAAATGCTCCCAAACCTTGCCGAAAATGCTCACTTTTTTGTAATCCTCCGCACACGCCGTCAAAAGACTCGTGGATCTACGGTAGTTTCGGGCATAACACCGGGCCCTACTGGTGACCCCCGAAACAACGAACTGGGTGGCCTACCCGCGCGCCTACATTTGTAGTGACAGTACTAGTGTAGACTGTAGTGTGTATCATTTGCCGCTATGCTAGGATCGGGATCAGGGAGTCGTACTCAAACTAGGGAGGTGACCATGGTGACACGGCACAGAAATCCGTGTCACAGGGCCAGGGCCTAGGCTAGGGGTTGACTAGCACCCGTGACCATGGTGACCCCTCGTTGTTATTTTTGGTTGAGTCCAGTCCAGTCCAAAACTGGTCATACTCGGATCGACTCGCCTTCTGTACTTCACCTCCAAGCGTGCAGCAACGCAAGACCCGCAAAGTATGATTTTTCTGTGGCGAACGATTTTGCCATTGATCAAGTTTTTATTGGAGTGCTCAGGCATACTGCGATTGCTGAGACGTCCCGAGCACGCTTGTTCAGGTTCTCCTTTTTTGACGAGCCGGTCCTACAGCTCCCTACATTGTATCTAACGACGTAGGAGCTGACAATGTAAGAGGATTTCCCTGGAAATAATGATGATGGTGGTGTGACTGCTGCAGGAAAAATGCTGGCTGTTTATGACAGTATGACTAGATGTACAATGTAGCTCTCTTGTATGGTACTTAACCCCTGCTATAAATGTGTTGTTTACATGTAGTAGGAAGACTGGTGTATTGTGCAAGTCATAAAGAAGAAATTGGGCAGATACACGACTTTCAAAAACCAGCTTCGTGTTATGTGTAATTTGTGTCAAAATTGTAGTATTTACTATTTAGACATGACAATATCATTGGCTGTACTTCTCTAATATGGTACATAACCCCTGCTATAAATGTGTTATTTAGGCAGACTGGACCATTGTGCAAGTCATAAAGAAGAAATGGGGCAGATACACGACTTACATTTTTCAAAACCTGGCTTCGTGTTATGTGTAATTTGTGTCAAAATTGTAGTATTTCAACATGACAATATCACTGGCTGTACTTCTCTTATAATTATGGTACTTAACCCCTGCTATAAATGTGTTGTTTAGGAAGACTGGTGTATTGTGCAAGCCATAAAGAAGAAATGGGGCAGATACCATGGATACACGACTTAAAATTTTCAGAAACCAGCTTCATGTTATGTGCAATTAATTAATATTTGGGTCAATTTTTAGTTTTTTTTTAGTCAATTTTTTTTCGGAAATTGTACACATGCAAATCGTCAGAGTTCCGACATTGACATGATACTGCCAAAACAAGTCGACTTCGGAGCGGAAACAAACGCCATAGCCATCACAAACTTCAGTGGCCATGCCTCGCTCGCAAATGAGAGCAGCATCGCCCCAGAATCGCTGTCGGAAAGCTCCGTCAGGTCGCACGCAAGCCGCGCTGCGCTGCCGTCACTCAGGTACATGTACGTAGAAAGTCGATGGGCTAAAATTCCGTCTCTGGGAGACTGTCGACACAGGGATCGCTCTCTATGGCTTCCCCACCATAAGCACCATCAGATTCTTCCAGGTACATCACGATGACATCGTCTTCAGCGGCTGGCGCTCCCCACAGCCCATATTTGCGTGAGAATTTACTTGGCGTGCGCACCGCTCCGTAATTATTGAAATTCGCTTGCACGGAAAAAAAAATTTTGACGGATGCCGGATGGGAGTTTGAGCTCTCACTCGGACCTGGTTTCTGGCGCCCCGTTCGCAACTCACCCTGATGCAGAGTGGCCAGTGTTGCCGGTGCAACGGCAACGGCACCTGCGTCAGGTGTGACTGCACCAAGGCGGCACGGAAATGCTGGAGCTGCCTTCCGTCAAAGAAGGATCGTTGTAAAAATTCCGCCATCCCTTCTCCTCCCCAGCCGGAGCAAGCTGTCAACGGCCATCGACAACCTACGGTGCAGGACAACGCTACGGGAACAGTTCTAACCGTACAATGCGATGATGCCAGCGTGGATGCCAGTGCAGCCACAGCTCTCACCGCCACCCTGCTGGCAGAATGTCGAGATCCCGTACCCGTAGATCTACCGTGCAGCGGTGAGGTGGCGGCTGACCATGAGGCCAATCAATCCACTCGATTTACTGGCGATCAGACCGCTAGCGCCGCCTCAGACTCCCAACAGTTTGCTTGGAGAGCACTGGATCAGCTGCAACCAACCACCGTGGTTACGGAGGGCGGAGCGGACGAGCCTCCTGCCGGCGCTCAGTCGGACTCCCAGCAGTATGCGTGGAGGACACTGGACCAGCATCAAGCACGCACAAGTGTGTCCCAGGAAAGCCCTGTGCCCACCCCAGAAGAGGTCGACCTCGTAGCCAATCTGGATCAGAGCCAGCTGCAACAGACCCCGACACACTCAGATCAGGAGCTGGAGGAAGGACCACGGGATCTCCCGAATTTCCCTACTGCCCCCACTACAGGATTCCTTCTGGGCGAGCGTACCAACTTGGATTCTGTGCAGGCTGTGCAAGACGTGTACGAAGAAGTGGTACACTGTAGACCGAATGCAATGCAGGTACCCCGAGGAGCCACTGGCAAGCTCTTTGTATCCCAACTCTCCAATTACATTGTATGCTTTGGAACCAGTGGGCCATATGAAGGCATAGCTCTGAAAGTAGCCATGGTCTTCCAAATGCTGATGCTGCAGAAGCCGCCAGGTCCTGCAGAGAAATCCGCAGATATCCTGCAGCGCCGCCTAGCAGCATGGCACAGAGGGGACCTACACGACCTGCTGCACGAATGCCGAACGATTCAAGAGGAGCTCACAGCACCTAGCCGGCCCCACCGCGGGGGTAACAAGGAGAAGGATGATGCACGCCACTTTGCAAACCTGGTGACAAGTGGGAAGCTATCCAACGCCCTACGATCGCTAGCCCCCAACGGAAATGCTGGAGCCCTGGCGCTGGATGACAGCATCGGTGACAAGTCAGTGCAAGAGGTCCTGCAAGACAAACACCCTGACCCTGCGCCCCTAGCCACGGAGGCCCTGATACAAGGTGTTCCCCCTCCTCAGCCTCATCCGGTCAGGTTCTCTGGTCTCAATCGTGACTTGGTGAGAAAGGCGGTACTCAACACTCATGGCGCAGCCGGCCCGTCCGGTATAGACGCTGAGGCATGGAGGTGGATGTGCACAATGTTCTCCGACGCGTCTGACTCGCTATGCGATGCGCTGGCAAGCTCTGCTCGACGTGTGGCGACCGAATTTGTCGACCCCCGATCGCTGGAAGCGTACCTGGCATCCCGACTCATCCCCCTCAACAAGAACCCGGGGGTTAGACCCATTGGGATTGGCGAGGTGATGCGGAGAGTGGTGGGCAAGGCCATCCTGTACGTAATTGGTCAGGATATTCAAGAGGCAGCTGGCACCCTTCAACTCTGTGCAGGCCAGGACTGCGGGATCGAGGCGGCGATACATGCCATGCAGCAGGCGTTCGACCAGGAGGATACCGAAGCGGTCTTAATGGCAGATGCCACGAATGCGTTTAAGGTGGCTCACACCCTCTGCGCGCGCATCGTTTGAAAAGTGTAGATTTTCAGTAAATTTTTCGGTAGCGATGATTTTTGTGCGATCAATCGTTGTAGGAAACGTCTTCTCGCTTTTCTGCAATTCTGGCGACCTACAGCTAGAACCTGCTGCTACTGTGCTAGTGTCCCTCTTCACTCGTTCTTTCTATGAAAGGGGAAGGCAGCACTCGCAGAAGATTTTCCAAGAATGCAATGTCGACTGGTGCTCGTACTATAAGAAGGGAGAAATCAAAGTCACTGGGCCGCTCTTGAATCACGCCTGAGTCGAAAATTATTTCAGAATACGCTTGTGTAGATTTCCTGCCAGTGCCACTGACATCTCGCGACCTTCAAATATAACTTGCTCGATCATCTCCCGCACTGACTGGTAAATTCGTCGGGTAGCTGTGGATGGATCGATTCAGGGAGATCGAAGGTAAATACATCGAAGCACTTCAAACACGTTTCAAGACGCACTTCAAATTTTGTAATTGTGTCTTGAAAATTGTTTACAACAATTCGTACTTCAATACGCTGTTGAATTGTATCCTCTGCTTGGGAGTCTCGACTGTTTTATTGCTGTATGGCTTTCCTCAACACCGTTCACTGTACATGTATCGCGGAACGCAGATTGGATGGCATTGGAGGTGAATTTGATAATTTGTGACTGTGTCATCAACCAAGTGAGGACATCAAATATCAACAGGGACGTTCCGAAAATCACAAACGCTGCGAAATAGGTATGAAATGGTCTTACACACTGGTGGGTATTCCACATTCATTGTGTCATATCTTTAGACTGTTCGAAAGTTTGTCGTGCCGTGCAACTTTCACAGACTAATCCGATAATTGGCATGTCGCCCTATCGGCACACACTAATGCGTATGCCGCTGAGTCTATCTATATGTGCACGCACATGTGTGTATACTTACACAATTTTATTACGTGTGCAAAATTAGGCAATCTACATGTACGTATATATGTGTGTGCACTCACTCCTATGACATAGAACGACAGTGCAGGCTATGTAGAGTCGCACGAATGTGTGTTACCCGGGTGTGTATATGCATGCGCACTCGCGCGGGCGTTTTGTGTGCGCGCCTGGCATGGCATAACGCCGTTCAATATGACTAGTGTTGAACCGTGGTAATTTGCCCCGCCCCTTCTTTTTTCTATTGGCGTTGGATATGCAACTAATGACATAAACTCGGTTGTTGAAAACGAGTGCCATGCACCACAATGGATTGACAATAATATAATACAAGTAGCGCTGTAAAAGCGCTGGTAATACTCATGTTGCAACCATGGCAGTTGTGATTAGCTTTCCAAGTCAAGCCTGCTGCAGAAATTATTGCACTCTGACCAGCTGGAGTGGCCCAGGACTGCAGGTTGTGGAGAACAGGAGTGATGCTTGTATATACGCTTGTATTTACATGATGGACTTCGAAGTAACGTTAGGTGTATTACTTGTATGTTCTTCTGCCTGTGCACATGTACATGTGCTGGTCAGTGTGGAACCGCCATCCATATCAGATCATACAGCTCAGCTGCTATCAGTCTCAACAGCTTATATCTGGCAAATAGGGTTTTAGTGACTCAATTTTGCTTACTGTGTTCAACAGAGTGGCATTGCACACAGCTACTTTATGTAATAGTAGCATCTTGGAAATTTTATATTTTTGGTAGTTAGCTTCAGTAGAAACTTCTCCAGTGTGGCTCTTAGCTTCATTACCATGGAGACTAAGCGTTCAAGTAATGCACGAAGAACAGTGGCTAGATGCGAAGTGAAAAGCCATTGGACCGTACCCAATGGAATACGCATTTAGTATAGCAGTATTGGTTGCTATGTTGGCAGCAAACACTGTATAATATAATAATTGCATTACCAGTAAAAAGTGCCCAATGTGCATTGCTTCAGCACTGTGTTTTGGACAAAGCAGTCAAAAAATTCCACATCAGTATTGGCTTCATGTTGGAGAAAGTTGTGAAAAACACTAGAGCATACATGTACACTCAATACACATGCTCAGCTACATGTATGGCATTTAGTTTGTGGGCGACTTCAAAGTTCTATTTTGGTAGTTAGCTTCGGTAGAAACTGTCTAAACTTGATCCAAAGCTCTACTACTATGTTCTGAAGGTGTTGCAATCAAGTAATGTAAGACACGTATCTGCCGCATTGGAGCTAGTTGTGAAAACCTTTAGACCATACACACAATGCACATGCTCAGCTATGGCATTTAGTATGTGGGCGACTTCAAAGTTCTATTTCGGTAGTTAGCTTCGGTGGAAACTGCTAAAACTTGATCCAAAGCTCTACTACTATGTTCTGAAGATGTTGCAATCAAGTAATGTAAGACACGTATCTGCCGTATTGGAGCTAGTTGTGAAAACCTTTAGACCATACACTCAATGCACATGCTCAGCTATTGCATTTAGTATGTGGGCGACTTCAAAGTTTTATTTTGGTAGTTAGCTTCGGTGGAAACTGCTAAAACTTGATCCAAAGCTCTACTACTATGTTCGGAAGATGTTGCAATCAATTATTGCAAGATACGTATCTGTCATATGGTGGAGTCAGGGGTTCTAAGGCGTTGGACAATGTCCCAGTGCAATGTGCTGATTCTTGAAAATATGGCATCACTTGACACTTCAAAGTTTTATTTCAAGAGTTACCTTCGGTAGAACCTGCTCAAACTTGCTACACAGTACCATTATTAGGTTATGATAGCATAACCATCGAATACAGGGCAAGTCCAGTGTCAAATACTTGTGGGCGGGGCTAATATGTGGGACGTGTGCGCTGAAATGGGATGATTCCGAAAAGAGAAAAAGGTCACCTTCTAGCAGAATTCTACCCACTTCTAAAGCTTATGCTGGTAATTAGCAAGTATACTACTGTCCTGATGTTGGACATCAAGAAAAATGGGGTAACTACGAGTGCTACGGCCAAAAAAGTGGTTTTCCGGTGTTTTTTGGCCTAAATTGGCAATTGTGAGTATGCTATGTTTGGCCCCTCCCCCGAGTGAAACCGGCCGGTAGAACTTGATAAAATTTTGTCTCCGTACACTAGATATCCTACGGAACAAAGTACAATCGTTTGTAGCCACGTTTCAAACAAAAAAATTTGGACCCGAGGGTAGGAGCCACCTGAACAGGGAAGCATGCCTGCGCAACATGCGTCACCTATGCCCATCCCTGGCGACAGTCGTTATTAACAGCTACCGACAACCCGCAAAGCTGTTTGTTGGGGGCAGCGTCATCATGTCGGCAGAGGGCACCACCCAAGGCGATCCCATCGCGATGCCGATGTATGCGCTGGGCATTCTACCCCTCATTCGTGCTCTCTCGGCTGAGGGAACGATCCAGATGTGGTTTGCAGACGACTCCTCCGCGGGCGGCAGAGTCCAACGACTACGCGCTTGGTGGGATATTCTGCGACAGAAAGGACCGGCATATGGGTACGCAGCAAATGCTGAGAAATCAGTCCTGGTTGTCAAGGCCGGTCACCTGACGGAAGCTGAGGACGCCTTTGCAGGGACCGGTGTGCACATTACCACCGACGGCCACCGGTTTCTAGGTGCTGCACTCGGATCGACGGAGTTCGTCCAGAGCTATGTTTCCCAGAAGGCAAACGGGTGGAAAGACGAGATTGTGTCCTTGGCCAAGATTGCCGAAACCCAGCCACAGGCTGCCTATGCAGCATTCACGCAAGGCCTGAAGCATCGCTGGTCCTTCCTGTGCAGAGTCATGGAGTGTGCTGCTGAAAATCTTGGCCCTCTGGAAGACACCATCACCAATGTCCTTATTCCTGCCCTGTGCGGTAAGCCAGTAAACTCACGTGAGCGAAGGGTCCTTGCTTTCCCATGCCGTGAAGGAGGCCTCGGCTTAGTCGACCCCACCACCTTGGGCGACCAGTTCCGGGCATCGGCAGCGATAACCTCGGCGCTCGTCCGCAAGATTCTGGACCAGGACACCCAGATTGGCCATGTGCTGGACCTGGTACGGTCCACTAAGAGGGAGGTGGCAAGTCGTACCCGCACTTCAACGGCCCAAGCAGCCAAAGAGTTCATCCTGACGCAGAACACTGATATCCAGCTCTGTGTCGGTCTGGCGGCGGAGAAGGGTGCGTCGGCTTGGCTGACCTGTAGACCCCTGAAGGCCCATGGCTTTGCCCTCTCGAAGGGTGAGTTCCGGGATGGCCTTGCGCTCCGCTATGGCTGGCCGCCAGCCCACCTTCCATCGATCTGCCCGTGTGGTGCATCGTTCACCGTCGCCCACGCCTTGTCGTGCTCTCTGGGTGGGTTTCCCTCACTGAGGCACAACGAGGTACGAGATGTTACGGCTGGTCTCCTCAAACGGGTCGCCAACAACGTCACCACTGAACCACACCTGCAGCCGGTAACTGGGGAAGCATTCCGCTACCGCTCTGCCATAACGGACCCCCAGGCTAGGCTGGATATAGCAGCGAGTGGTGTCTGGGGTGCACCGGTGGGCGTTTTGACCGCACTTTCTTCGACGTACGGGTTTTTAACCCTTTCGCGGCTTCAAATCGCTCCACCTCAGTACCCTCCTGCTACCAGCGCCACGAACGGGAGAAACGCCGCTGCTATGAGGAGCGTGTTCGAGAGATCGAACATGCAACTTTTTCACCTCTCGTTCTCTCCTCAACAGGCGGCATGGGCAAGTCGGCAACAGCCTGCTATAAGCGGATTGCCGGGCTCCTGTCCGACAAGACGAAGGAGCCGTACAACCGTGTAATGTCGTGGATTCGCTGCCGACTTGGCTTTGCTCTGGTTCGCTCCAGCATGGTTTGTTTGCGTGGTGCTCGGCGACGCCCCATGCGCGTCAGCGATGTGGCGGATGCATCTGCTACCTTGGCCGTTGCCGAGGCCCGCTGCCCTGTGTAACTGACTGCAAGTGGTTCCTAAATCAGTTCCTATTCCCCATTGTTGCTTCTTTTTTCCCCTCTAGTTTTCTTTTACGGTATTATAATTTCACGGAGAAGGCGGAGAGCCCGAACGTGTGCAGTTTTATGTTTATTATTTGCCATGGCGACCCCCGTAAGTCCAAATAACTGGCAGGGCAGGGTTGGGCCTTTTTCTTTCTTCTCGGATTTATTTTCATGACATGCTCACTGGAATATCGCATATTATTGCCCGCGGCGCGAAAAAAAAAAAAAAAAATTCGCTTGCATCGGAGGCTGGAACGAAGTATTTATCTATCTGTCGTCGGTCCCAGAGCGAATGACTGCTAGCCTAGTGCTAGGTCGTCGTCGGAGAAGTCATCCGAGGACGAAAGGAACTCACTGCGCAAGAGAAAATGCACCTGACGATGTTTTGACGGAGGCGGACGGCATTGTCGGCGCGCGTGTATTTCCGTAAGTTTTCGATCGCACAGTTCTCAATGAAATCAAATGGGACACGCGTGGATCTCTTCAGCTTCCGATAGGATCAGGCCTACAATTGTAGGCTGTTTGAGGGCCACGGGAAATCCCCGGGCCCGTGGGCTGATGCTTCCCGTCATCATGATTCATGGTCATGATGACGGGTGAAGTACAGTCAGAAGTAGGCTTTTCCGGATTATGCGTTTTTCCTTGGTCTAAAATGGAAATGGAAAGTGTTTTGAAAAACCTCTATAAATCAAATTTTTTTCTAAAGAAAATGCAAAAATTTACCCAAAAAGCACAAAAAATGCCATCGTTGTCATGGTAACAAAATGGGGACAGCTAGTCGCGTGACATTTGGCACCATGGTGATCATTCATGGTGATCGTGAAGTACCTATCGCTTGCAGGGAGTCGTAAAATGCCGGTATTTTACGACTCCCTAGCCCAAAGTGGGTCAAAATCAGGGAGTAGTAAAATACAGGGAGGTGACACGCCACTAATCGTGATTTTTGATGGTTGCCTCGCGCTTGTTTTTTTTTCTTTCGCAAAAAAAGATGATCTGCTGAATCAATCTGGAGTATTTGTCGAAGAACTAATTCCGTGAAAAGGTCTATATCCATCTCATGGAACAGCATTTGTTTTGCTCTTGTGATACATCTGTGTCATCGTCATATGGAAAGGTACCACCCTTCCGAAAATCGTACCGATCGACGGCATGGAGCAATAGAAGGAAGGTGATTTCCTTGAGAACAATACGTGTACGATTGGAGATGAAAAGCGAGTGCACAGATTTTGAAGTCGAAAAAATCTCTAGGACACCACACGATCGCCCCTAATTTCTCCTCAGTTGTGATCAACCAGTACTTCTCTACCTTCTTTGTGATGATGAGCATTTCATATTAAGGTATGCTAGAGATTCGGGAGTTCACTTTTCGGAATGAAATGTTCCTAAGTTTGTCAAGGATTGAAATGCGGGCTACGTCGTCGTAAACAGCTTGTATCGACACAGGAAAAATCTACGGCGCGCAGGGATATCTCGCAAAGTGATACCACTCTTGCTGGACTTCTATCCTGACATAGTGGTAGTTTGGTCGACTACCAAACTTTGTGAAGGCAGACAATTGTTGGAAATTCTCAGCGCTGAGTTTCTACGGGCTGCAGTAGGAGTCTCTTTGGCGGTAGGTATTTTACTACTCCCTGATCGAGAGAATCCTGATCCGCGCGCGTGTCTACACACTTCGGTACCCATAGTACCCCAATCTCACCCGCCGGGTGAAAACGGTGCTGAGGCAATCGTCAAACTGGCCGTACGTACATGCTCGTGTCACCTCCCTGTATTTTACTACTCCCTGGTCAAAATGGACAAAATGCATTTTGACCCCCAAAATGCAAAAATATGCAAACACATAATCCGGAAAGGCCTAGTCAGAAGGCGAGTCGATCCGAGTACAGTATGACCAAGAGTAGATAAATCTACTCTTGGTATGACCTTTCGGACTGGACTGTCTGAACTATTCCAAAAAGAACAACGAGGGGCCCGGGTACATGCGAGTCAACCCCTGTGACACGGATTTCTGTGCCGTGTCACCTCCCTAGTTTGTACGACTCCCTGATCGGGATGGTAGATCTAGTCTGTGATCCGGAGCGGCGGAGGCGTAGATTAGATGTGGTGTGCTTATTTTCCTTGGTGTGTTAGTTTTAGGTTCCTGCTTCGGTGGTGCAGGTTATTGGACTTGTTTTAGTTGAGTTAGCTTTTTGGCATGAGAATGAAAGAGTAATAAAATAATACAGTCTTCTTATAGTACAGTAACGACGTTACGTTTGTGGAATGGTGAATCAAGACGAGAGGTAGAAAAAGTTGAGTGTTGTGTTTTTGTGGTTCTCACATTCTTACTTTAGCTTGAAAAAATTAAAAGTGTCCAAGACCACGCCGGCAATCGTGCTTACAGGTACTAGGTTTCAGTGCAGCAGTACACCATTGTACACGTATTAGTAGTAGAACAATCATGATGATGTAGATTTACTGCAACAACGTTACGTTTCGTATCAAGTAAGTAGTACTAGTAGCTCAATACCGGGCAGCGATCACTGTAGTGATGGAGAAGAAGCTAGAGGCAGCCAAGCACCTCTTAGTCCATCTCTACGAGAATGACAGGCTGCCTGACGATAGAATCACCCGAGAGCAGCTTCGTATCGAATTGAGCAGTTTCAAGCAGAAGCATGGGTGTCGTCGTCGGAGAAGTCATCCGAGGACGAAAGGAACTCACTGCGCAAGAGAAAATGCACCTGACGATGTTTTGACGGAGGCGGACGGCATTGTCGGCGCGCGTGTATTTCCGTAAGTTTTCGATCGCACAGTTCTCAATGAAATCAAATGGGACACGCGTGGATCTCTTCAGCTTCCGATAGGATCAGGCCTACAATTGTAGGCTGTTTGAGGGCCACGGGAAATCCCCGGGCCCGTGGGCTGATGCTTCCCGTCATCATGATTCATGGTCATGATGACGGGTGAAGTACAGTCAGAAGGCGAGTCGATCCGAGTACAGTATGACCAAGAGTAGATAAATCTACTCTTGGTATGACCTTTCGGACTGGACTGTCTGAACTATTCCAAAAAGAACAACGAGGGGCCCGGGTACATGCGAGTCAACCCCTGTGACACGGATTTCTGTGCCGTGTCACCTCCCTAGTTTGTACGACTCCCTGATCGGGATGGTAGATCTAGTCTGTGATCCGGAGCGGCGGAGGCGTAGATTAGATGTGGTGTGCTTATTTTCCTTGGTGTGTTAGTTTTAGGTTCCTGCTTCGGTGGTGCAGGTTATTGGACTTGTTTTAGTTGAGTTAGCTTTTTGGCATGAGAATGAAAGAGTAATAAAATAATACAGTCTTCTTATAGTACAGTAACGACGTTACGTTTGTGGAATGGTGAATCAAGACGAGAGGTAGAAAAAGTTGAGTGTTGTGTTTTTGTGGTTCTCACATTCTTACTTTAGCTTGAAAAAATTAAAAGTGTCCAAGACCACGCCGGCAATCGTGCTTACAGGTACTAGGTTTCAGTGCAGCAGTACACCATTGTACACGTATTAGTAGTAGAACAATCATGATGATGTAGATTTACTGCAACAACGTTACGTTTCGTATCAAGTAAGTAGTACTAGTAGCTCAATACCGGGCAGCGATCACTGTAGTGATGGAGAAGAAGCTAGAGGCAGCCAAGCACCTCTTAGTCCATCTCTACGAGAATGACAGGCTGCCTGACGATAGAATCACCCGAGAGCAGCTTCGTATCGAATTGAGCAGTTTCAAGCAGAAGCATGGGTGTCCAGGCGGACTTAGCGCGGGCACGGCAATGTACGTGTTGAAGACCTTCCGCCTAGCTCGGGTGGTAAATGGAGACCTGTTGGTGGTGCTAGCGAAAGGAATCAAACTCAGCAAAGGTGAATTGCTTGGTGCGGCCGTACCTGCAGCTACCAATGTACAGCAGCGAAGTCCGAGCACCAAGAAAAAACGCCGCGCTGCGAAGGGAAAGCGGAAGAAACGTGCCGCTGCACTGGCTGCGGAAGACACTACGAAAGGTCCTGACTCAAAGTCTAAGTCAGCCTCAAAGTAAGCGCTTTGTGAAGTCGACTACAATCACTAGCAAGTACTGTACTATTATTATACTGATTACTCTATGTAGATCTACCCTACATAGTCCTTACTCATACTAAGCCTATGATCGTTTGGTCGGATCCAGATCCAGATCCAAATCTCAGATCCGTCGGATCCTTCAGAATCAAGCGAACACTTTTTTGCGGACCTTGGCTGTTGCCATGTTGACGAAGTAAAAAATGGCGCTGACAGGTCACCCAAAAAATTCAAAAGTCGTACTGATCGCGTGCGTCGTACTGATCGCGTGCGTCGTACGAAAAGTCAATTAAAGCCCACTAGACGTACGACATGACAATGAGTACAAGAATGATTTTTACCCGCCATATACGCACAAAGGTCACATTTGGATCCGATGGATCCAGTCAACCCTGCTCCCTGGGCAGGGTTGCTCGGATCCAAATCCGGAGGATCTGGATCCGGATTCGATCATTGCAGATCCAGTGGATCCGATGGATCTGGATCTGGATCCGACCAAACGATCACGGCCCAAGTATTTTGAAATAATTGTGTGGATATCTGATTATCATAATTGTTGTACAGTATAAAATTTTGTAGTACAGTATTTGTCATGTACAATCATGCACTGTGGTAGTTTGGACTGTTTCACACCTCGCTGAACCCAGGTCGCCTTTAGCTGTTTAGCATAACAAATTAAAAATCAAAACTTTTTTCACCAGCCGCAGCCTTCGGGGTGCTGAGTTGAATGGTCTTGGTCCGAGGAAGCTGAGCATGTGACGATTGTTCTACTTGAACACATAATAAGTCATTCCTACTGTTATATCCAGGGTAGTACTAAAGAAGTCTGGCTGTCCTAATTGCTAGTAAGCACTTGAGTACTCATCAGTGTTACCTACATGCAGTAACTGTTGTAACTAATTACTTGTAAGCACTCATCCATGGCAACATCCAGGGGATTCCTATACTGATGTGATCTAGGTCTGATCTTCTAATCGAGTGCGCAACCTCCAGCGCATGTTGTGTGTTGCAGCACATGCACGTGTTGCAGCACATGCATGTGTTGTGCGTAGCAGTGCATAATTGTGCGTAGCAGTACATACACACACGTTGTAAGTAGCAGCTCGTGTTGTCCGTATACATAGCCTGAGTACATCACGGAATAGGGAACTATGTAGTTTATGTGCACGAGGATTGGTGGATATAGTAATTGCAGCTATCATGCTGTCAGCGTGTTACCATTGAAGCCTGTTGCCATTGAAGCTTGTTGCCATTGAAGCTTGTTGAAGGACGTTATGTTAATCTTACACTCATGTTGTGTCTTTTTTATTTGTCTCTGTCCTGTTAGAGCCCTAGCAAAGGAGGTGTTGGTACACAGCGCTGTGAAGGTGTCGTCTGACCATGATATTGTGGACGGTATTATTACAGTGGGTGATGTTCGAGTTGACCTAGAGGAGCGACCTACTGTCCCAATAATCTGCAGCAATGAGTCCGAGGAAATTCTTACGCTACAGTCCTGGAAGCTGAAAGTCGGCCCAGACATCAACAATGTGTATGACCGCAAGCAATGTGCCGGCAAAGAGCTGGCTCCAGGTGATGAACTTCAGGTTCAAGTTTGCTGCAATGGCAACCATACTCTGCTTGGCACACGGAACGATATCTGTGAATTTGTCTTCAGCGTGCCGGCTACCGAGAATCAGATTGTTGTGAGATATTTACTCTCTGTGCGCTACGTGGATGAGGTGACATGTTTACCTGCAAATCAGCCCAAAGGACGTTTTTCAAGGCGCAAAAACTTGGTGATATCCCACAATGAGCAGACCTTGATAGGTGACGAGTCAATTATGCCGGCAAAGTAAGATAATATCTTTATGTTCTTGAATTATATTATATCAGGGGTCTTTTGTTACGAACTATTGGATACAAGAGACATTTCCCAGACACGTACCGTGACCATGACTTTTTACCTTCGAGGCCAACAACTTCGTAACATTGCTTCATCGATTTTAGGGGCACCCACATGATGACTGACCTGGGGGGGGGGGGGGGGGGGGGGGGCATCAACGTTCACATTATTTACTATCTCGCTCAATTCCCACGACTCAAGTAATAATTGAGCTTGCTTCAACAGGCCTTGCCGTCTGTCCACAAAGCCAATATCTTGTGAGCTGAAGCCTCGGTAGTATAGCTCCACATGGACGACTTCAGAAACTTCATGTTTGCCTCCACACAGACAAGGAATGCACTTCACTCAAGTTGTTACATAGGGAAGTCACATAATAGCAGATCACCTCGTAGCTTTCTTTAAACTAAAACAAGGACATGCCCACTAAGTGTGTGGCTCCAACGTGGACCTCACTTGCCAAACTTGACACTCAACTGAATCACAGCTGCCATCCGGAGCACACGAGGAGCATGTCAAACCTTCCACTCTGCACATCCTGCAAGAATGCACTACTCCCTGCCCGATACCCAGTGTTTCCCGGAATTAATATGCTCCTGGTGTGCTCTATGCCCCTGGTGTGCTCTATGTATGACCCCTGGTGTGCTCTATGTATGAGTGGTGTGCTCTATGTATGAGCTACAAACTGCGTCTACTCTTACCGCCGACGTCGCTACTTCTTATTTCAACATGTTCGTCTGTTGTTTTCTGACTGTCTTTTCATCCCAGGCCCGAAAAAGACGGTCTGGACATTACAAAGTGTCCACTCAAGCAGTACAGGGAGGATTCTGTCAAATCTGTGCTCCGCTCCTACTTTGAGGGTTTCGAAGACCACCAGTGGTGGATATGGCAGTATACCGTAGCTTCAATGGATGGAGGTGAGGTTTTGCCAATTTGTCTAGACACGCTGCTGATGAAGGAACTGTCACCGGACAACTACAAGCAAAGGCACCTAGTGCTGCTACTTTTGGAGCATCGTCAAGAAGACGCTGACATTCACAAGTATGATTTGCCTGCTGCTACAATGAAGAGGGTTGGTACCTATCTCTCCTTGAAGGTGGGTACATTGTATGATAGCGTTCCCATTATCCTCTATTTTCTTCGCGAGACCTCTTCTTCTCTTTCACTACTTATAATAGTTTATTAATAAATGCTGGAACTGCAACTTGCCAAGTTTTTGAATAAGCATGTGCACTGTACCTTTGCTGTTATGATCGCCAGCAAGCGTCCACTATGGGCAAGTGCCCAGCCAGCCAGGAGCATGTGAACATCGAGTACACGCTAATTATATGTTGCACACACACACACACACACACACACACACACACACACACACACACACACACACACACACACACACACACCACAACACACACACACACACACACACACACACACACACACACACACACAAACACACACACACACACACACACACACACACACAAGAGTTGGCACTTGCCTGCAATTTTATGGTACAGAGCTAACCAGCACTCAAATTTCCACTATTTGGCCTCGGGCACTGGGGATGGAAGCTAGACGATGTTGAATGGTTGAACAAAGTGGCTTGTTATTTCCAATCACTGTTATAGCAATTCTCTGCAGAGATATGGACGCACGTTGCTCACCCACATGACGTGACAGATTAAACGTGTGTGCGTGCATGTGTGCGTTATTGTGGATACATGTGTGTGTGTGTGTGTGTGAAAAAACAAACAAAATAAAACATGTTGTTGTTTTGTGCTCCTTGGGAGCACGTTACACTTTCTGAGCTCCGTGTTTTTGGCTTTCTCCCAAGTTTTCTGCCTGCCCAGGGCGACTCTGGCGTAGCCAGAGTCGACCCTGGAGCACCCTCGCACACTGCCAAGGTAGTGCTGCATGATTGGAGCGCGGAATCGCGATGTAGCTTGCAGGACAATTTACTTCGATATTGTCACTGCTGCGTCGGCCGTGGTCCACCACTCGCAGTGGAGTAGCTGTCCCTCGAGTGCTGTGAAGAATCCAAGCTCGAAGAATGCAGTGGTGGGAATTGCGGATTGGCTGGTGGAGTGCTGGAACAACTCGTTGTTTTCAGTGGAGTGGACGAGCGAGTGCGGAGAGGAAGGTCCCAATGGCGGAATGGTGGGAATTGAAACTTCAATATTTCGTCGTCATGAGTGCACTGGTCAAGCGTTGTGGAAGTCTGTCGGATTTGTGAGGCCTTGCCCTGCCGCTTACATCGTCAACGTGGAAGAGCTGCTAGTGGAGTCCTGGTGGGATTTCGCATGCCCACACTCCTTTTGCTTGGTGGATTCTTTCGTGGACAGTAGAGAGGTTAAGTTACACGTGTTTTGCCCTTTTTCAAAACGCGGTGCAAATCTCACGTTACGTGTAATTTTTAGAGGTTAAGTTACACGTGCGACGTGACGTGAAATTTTGCCTGGCAGGATTCGGGTTTAGTTCGCACAAATATAAAATCTTCCAACAAACTCGATAAATCTCGATAAAATTCCGGAAACTCACACAAATTCGGTCGGGATAACCAAGCGAAACTTCCAAAAACTCACGTCATGAACAGGCGAAGCGCCAGCACCCCAAATCAAGACTTTTTTATTTTCCGTGGCGGGAAATCGAGCTTTTCCAGGTATCTACAGCCTGTAGAAATTCAACGCTGAGAATTTCCAACTATTGTCCGGCTTTGGCCCTCTGCCACCGACCTATCCTTTGAAGGAGAGTGCTGAAACCAGTTGGTTGCTCTTCAGTAGTTCTTTCTCTATCGTACACATATTTTTGTATGTCGACACATGCTGTGTGCGACGACGTAGACACTTCTCAACACTTGAGTGACTTGAATTTGGCCATGATGACCGAATGTCATTGGACCGTGGAGTCGAGTAGAGGGCTCAGGCTCGATCGGCACAACGGGTACGTATAGCACAAGGGTAGGGCTAATGATATATCAAGTTGTTTGCTGTGCACAACCTTGGGGCGGAATTCGGCACGAAATTCTCTGCTCGCCAACTGTTGAGTATACCATGCAATACGTAGGTTTAAACTCATGTTGCAGTGCTATCACGGTTGCAACCCTCTTTCAAATGTTGACATAGCCAACAACCACATAATCCATATCAAATCTTGCCCCTTGTTTTCTTTCTAAGTGTGAAAAATAGAAATAATACCAGTCCTAATCATTGGAAAATGCAAATCACGGTCTATTATTGACACATCGTACTGTCGCGGACATGGAAATCCAGTCGATTGACCGGGGCCGGCGCCCTCAGCGCGTACAGAACGTTGCATGCAGTGCACATGTTGATCCAATGCGACCATCAGCAGTGCGTGATAAACCGTGCTACGGCTGCATGGCCAGCGCCCTGGGGCCGCTATACGTGCGGCCGGATTTCCATGTCCACGACAGTAGTACCATGCAGCCTGGTAGTCACGCGGCATTTGGAGCAGGAAAGTGAATGGTAGCACTGCGGTGGTGAACACATGAGCTGATGACAACCATCGTTGTCTTGTTGGTTTGTGTTGTCTCCAGTTCATTGCAGGTTGAACGAGGAATGAACGTCTACTCTTTCTTTCCAAAACTGGCTGGGCACACGCCAATGAGACGGAAGCTAGTGCCAAACCAGTCCTTGGAAGTTTTGTTGTGCTGCTGGACTTTCAATCATCATGTAAAGTATATTCCGGTTTCTGAGTCTTCGTGTGCGCCTGAAGAGCTACACTGTGTAGAGATGTTGGAAGTTTATCCTGCTCACGACACTGCACCAAGTACAAGCACTTCCTCGGCACTGCCTGAGCCCTGTTCTGTGTTAACTGTGACCAGGAGAAGCAACTAGAAATTTGGAGCTTGAGCTGGAACGCTGGTGCTCTCTCTCTGTCTCTCTCTCTCTCTCTCTCTCTCTCTCTCTCTCTCTCTCTCTCTCTCTCTCTCTCTCTCTCTCTCTCTCTCTCTCTCTCTCTCTCTCTCTCTCTCTCTCTCTCTCCGTCACGTTCTGCCACTGTCCGAAACCGGTGC